ACAAATTTCATCGATACGAGTACCGGTGGAGAGACATTTAAGTACGAAAGAATCATGAATGAAGATATTATATGATAATTTATTTAAAATAATAAAGGATTTGAATATAAAAAATCGAATTTGACAGTAAATTGGAAAAATTCCAAAATAAGATAAATTTTACTTAATTTACTCCAGCCTAAGTTGAAACAATTATCATTAGGTAATCTTATTACAAATTTGAACTCAATTTTAGCAAACAATCTGAAACCATGAAAATAGTTTCAAAAAAGTAAAAAATGTACAGTATAGAAAACAGATTTCGTCGATAGGATGTACCGGTGGAAATATTCGGACAGTTAAGTAATAAATAATCATGAATGAAGATGATCTTATTATTTGATTATTTATTGAAAATAATAAATGATTTGATTATAAAAATATCTTATAAATGTAAAATTTTACAATGTAATGCGTAGTGGGCTGGCTTTCTAATTGATGTTTAGAAGAACGGCTTTGTACCCGGAATTTTGGAAATCATCCCAGAAAACAGAAAAAAAACTTCTAGCTAGGGGCAACGATAATTCAGAAGTCGGAAGGGTGTCGACGTTTTCATTTGCTGGTTAGCGCTTTTTAGCGGCGACGTACAGGGGAGTGGCTTTTTTCTTTTGGACTGGGAGCCCTGTCACGCAAAACATTATATCACGCGAGGGGGCGATTAGGAGAGATTTACCACCAGGAAGCGGCCTGAAGTTCCGAGTCAGACTTACCAGTGTTTCACTTAACAGATTCAACATGTTACCGCAAAGCAAAAAAAGACGAGTACAGAGTTCCTATAACGGACCAATTCGTAAATTTAAACTCTGACATAATAATCATAATTAAATATTGCGATGGACTTTCATCTACGGCAAGTCGGATTTATATTAATTTCATTTTTTTCCGTGAAAAACGATTGGTTGTTGCTTATTCACGGAGATGTCCCATTTCCATTAATTCGTTGGTGTTTTACAAGAGAAATGTTGAACAGAAAATAATTAATTTTCATCAAAATCACAGTCCATTTATCGTTTATACCCGATAAAGAAACAAGCTTGAATTTAAAAGTATCTAAAAAATCCTTATCTAAGAAAACCTGTTGCGCGTACACGAACTTTCAAACAATTAACAACCTAAGATTTTTAAGTAAGTTTGCTTTAAAAGTTAAGAATAAATTAATTGGGGATTATGGTAAGTGGAAAAAATCTTCGAAATAGTTTTCTACAACTTTTTAAACCTCTGAGAAGTTCACTGGAATTCAACTTCGGAAATGTTTTTTTGCAGGAGGGAAATGTTTTTTTGCAGGAGGGAAATGTTTTTTTGCAGGAGGGAAATGTTTTTTATTTAACATTGTTTTCCAGTTTTCTTGTAAAAACTGAACAAAACGACAAATTGTGCTAGTGAAGTAACGCACGATGAGCCGAAATCCATTGATTTCCAATCGTTTTCTCGCCGTATTTTTATCTGATAGGACAAAATAAAGCACAGATACACCAATGAAGATAATGAGACGCCAGAACACGAATGACAGAACAAAACAGCGAGAAAAAGATAAAAATTATCGGAACGACCGATTTGATTGACCGACATAAATGTTACCGTCATGTTTAAAAAAAAGAAACTAGTTGTGAATAAATAGTAGTCGTTCTCATTGTGTAGGTGGTAGTAAAATTTAGATATTTCTAGTTGAACAAATCGACATGCTATTATCTACATTAACAGGTGATAGTGTGTAAAACGAAGATGGTTTATCCAGTCTATACGTATAATAAACCGTTTTTATTTGCTTTCAAAAGTTTCTGTCATAGAAAACACAATGTAATAATTTTTTAATGATAAAAAAAAATAAAGAAAAGATGAGAGGGAAGAGAGAGAGGATGAGTGTGTGGGTGTGTGTGTGAATGAGTGAGTGAGTGAGTGTGTGTGTCTGTGTGAAAGAGAGAGAGAGAGAGAGAGAGAGAGAGAGAAAGAGAGAGAGTGAGAGAGAGAGTGAGAGAGAGAGAGAGTCTGGGCGAGAAATTAAAATAAACTTGAAATGATCCAGAAATACGGCGCTTTGCTATGTTAAACCTTCACGACCGATCTATCATGAAGGTGTGAAGTTGTCATACGAAGGAGGATTCATCCTTCTCACTTTCATTTTAAGGTTATTAACGCCGTCATTGCGCCAACGTTTTAAGACAAGCTGAGGAACTGAGTACGATCGCTAGTCGAATAGAAGCCCTTCTCAACTCTCGTTCATTACATCCGCTATCTTCTGATCCAGATAACTTCGACATTCTTACACCAGGATATTTTCTTATAGGCGCTCCTGTATGCTTCCAGCTCGAATGGGACGTTACAGAAATCCCCAGTACGAGGCTCTCCCGATGGGAATTTTTACAGCAATATACACAACGCCTCTGGAAGAAATGGACAAGGGATTATCTGCACAGCTTAAAACAGAGAGGGAAGTGGACAAACCCCGAAACCAAAATCGAAGAAGGGACGCTGATCCTACTACGAGACGATCACGCACCACCGCTACATTGGCCACGAGGGCGAGTAATCCACTGCAACCGTGGTCAAGATGGAATAACAAGAGTAGTCAAAGTAAAAACACCAAAAGGAGTCTATGGCACACTTGCCACTCTGTCACCCTTACTTTCTGACTGATGAGCTGGAAATTTGGTGGGCGGAATGTTACTCCTGAATTTAAATTGTATTTTTGTTTTTAATTTAAGTTAGAGTTTGTTTGGTCTCGTTGCCACGGGAACGAATGTTTACGCCTCCCGTTGCTATGGGAACCAAATGTTTACGCTTTCGGTTGCCATGAACACCAGTCGTCGTTACTACAGTGATTTGTTTTGTATTTTTCATTACCATGGAAACGCCACTTCCTTTTTTGTCGAATCCAGACAAACGGACGAGTTCGCTGAATACCCAACATTTTTGTAGTCAATAACCTTGCTAAAAAAAACAAAACATTTGGGATTTTCCTCTATTCAAGACAAGACCTAATCTTTTTAGTTTTAAAATATGGTTAACACGGGGTTTAATTTCTCTTAATTTTAAATTACCAATGGTACCAATTAAAGTACCATCCCAACTTTGTTGCCATGAAACCTATGTCCTTTTTTTAAGTGTGACAAGAAATCAAAATTGCGCGTGTAACATAACCTTCGCCCTAGATAGTTTTACAGTATTAACGTATAAAATAGTCGTAAAAAGCCAAACTGAAAGTTCGTGAACATTCAACCTTTCATACCCCAATTCGTAGCCATTTTTTTCTGGAAAATATCTTTGTTTAAATAAATTCTAGGCAATACAGTTAACAAAATTTGAAACTCTATTAAAAATATAAAAGTTAAAATTCAGATCAACCAGTGAGGAAAAGTTTCGAAAAACGAAACGCGTCTGATAGGCCTCAAGTATAGGCAGGCAAGACTGACCAAACTTCAAATTCTTATACATTCATCTTTCCAACCTAAGAAGAAATCTAACATATATATATTATTTGAAAAAGAATTTATTCTGAGGAATATTTTTGCCAAAATAGTCCTTCCTAGTTCGAGCCACAAATTTCTGGAATTCTCTTCCTTTGTCAATCCGCAAAGCTGCCTCACTTACCATTTTTATAACCTGCATGTACCAACATCTCCCTCCAAACAGAGACAACATAGTTCACGATACCTTTACGTGCTTTTGCCTCATTAGAACACTTTTTACCTTCCTTTTCTCAACTTTTAAGCTTACAGTATGTGATTATGTTCGCAAAAGACAGAGAATCCTTTATTATTACCACTTTTCTCTAATTCCTTATTATTACTTCTGTTATTTCTATTTTTTATATTTTGTATTATGTGATTTAGTTCAACTTTTTTACTTGACATTAACGACAAACCTTCATTAATTGAAGTGCCAGATTTGTAAATGATTTTGTGACGTTTTTGTTATTCTTAGGGGACTGTAGGCCCAGAATAAAGTTTTTTGTCTTTCTCTCTCTCTCTCTCTCTCTCTCTCTCTTTCTCCCTTTTTCTCTCTCTCAATAAATTAAACTGGGGAAGCCAATTAGCATAATATTGTGTGCACAATATTGTATATGAACAATATTCAATTCACAAATATAAAAATTGAAACGCGTTTACCTACCTAAATATCAAACATAATCAAGCCAAAAAGACCGAAAACGACAAAACTACATATTCTTCCATTGTCATCCTTTCAAACCTCGAAAGGAAACATTACAATTTATCATTTATCCAAATAAAACTGGGAAAGACAGTTCAGCAAATTTGAGGCTGTCCTTTTAAACAATATAATAAAAAATGAAGCTGTGAAAATTTCAAGAAAACAAAAACGCAATTGATAGACCTAAAATTGCGAGAATGGGGCAGGCGAAACATGTTAAAAATGACCAAACTAAATATTCGTCGATTTTATTTCTATCAAACCTTCAATGGAAATGTAACAATTTTTCTCTTATTTGAAAAAGTTTTATTCTGAGAAATAAATAAATCGGCCTAAATAAATCTGAACAATGCAGTTTGCAAAATAAGAGATCGTTCTTTAAAAAAATATAATTAATGAAACAGATGCAGCAGTGAAGATCTCGGGAAGAAAAATTGCATCTGAGAACTGAGAGAAAGATTTATGTTCTTCAACTATATAAATATAATATTTACACAATATAGAAATAAAAATAAATGAAAATGTCATATCATATTTTCAAAGATAATAGAGAAGAAGTCTGAACTTGATGAACCTGGAATTTGGACACCTATCACTCTTTTCCATCAGAGGGTTTCTGCATTTCCGTATGTTCTGTGTTATTTCGTCGCTTTTCTATTTTGTAAATAATTTTAAAGTATTAACTTGTTATATTAACAGAAAAATCGAAGGGGTGTTGGGGGGTGGGTTTTGTCGTTGTTCGTCCCCGCCGTCGATGGCAGCGCGGGCGGTCGAAAATGTTTGGTGTGTTCAGTCTCGCTCCTGCCTCTGACCAGCGCCATCGCGCCACCCTCAACGCCGACAGATCGCGTAATTCACGTCGTATGGGTTTGCTCCGTCGTGGGTGAAATGGCAGATATCGCGATTAAAAAATCACTATGACCCCTCTGCTGTTCTGCTTGACTTTCTGCCTCCTTGCATTACCAGGTAGGTAAAGTTGCAAGCTGAGAAAATGGAAAAGAAAAAGCAAAAATGAAAAATTAAATATTTACGTGCGTTCCATAATGGATAATAAATGTTAAAAATAAAATCACAATAGATTTAAAAAAATATTATTTTTTTCTTATCAAATCCTTATTACCACAAAAACGTGAAATTTCAATATATGCATGATTTACCTACGTACATAAACATTATTAAACATTATTTTTGGTTAATTTCAACTTATTTTAATATTGAACGTTTATACATTTTATGTTTTTTTCTTTATAAATCAATATTTTATTTAATTGTTTACCAAATAATATTTCAGCACAATCTTGACGATATTAGTTTCTTGCTTGTCTGTTTCCTGGCATTGAGAAATGCTATTAAAACTTTATTACCACTTTGATAGTTTTAGATCGTTGAAATAAGATACTACAACCAATACTAAAAACATGATTGTTTCTAAAATAAAACAGAAGAGTATTCTTTATTTTCTCTAGGTTAGAATATATGTAAAAGAAACAAATTAAGAAAGCTGTTTGTGAAAAAATACAATACTTCGTAATTAAACAATTGTTTTTATCGTCATTTTCTACTCATTTATAACTTATTAATTAGAACTATTTGAGGTTTTGGCCCACTTTTACATTTATCCTATACACTTTTACAGTTGTTTACCATTTACCACCGTTTTGATATTCTATGAAACTGTAATATTTTTACCAAATTATTATTTAAAATACATCTCAGTTTCCAGTAAGCATATTTAAATATAACTATAATTAAAAATAACCTAAATTATTAATAAGTTTATTACAAATTTAATTATTTTGAAGGATATATTAACAAATTCCTTCGTCTTTACAAAATAGTCATTCCTTTGATAGTTTACGACCTTCCGGTCCACCTATCCTCCCTTGTTGTTTTGGGCAGCCAACATATTATACTGAAATATTTAACAATTTGTTAGTTTTCATATTTTTGTTTAAAAAAAACTAAAACTATGATATCATTAGGCAGATTATGAAAACTAACGGAAATATTGTAAAATATCAAAATACTAAATTTTCCTACTAAACTTTACTAATAGTTACCTGAAAAAATTAATATAGTGTATATTGACAGTAAAAAAAATATCGTTCAACATAAAAAATTTGTTAATGTTACTATTAATTATCTGTTATAATAAACATGTATATTATTTTCTGTCTTTATTACTTTTTCATTGATGATGCTATAATTTATTTTTTGGTTTAGTCTGTTGTTTTATATTTTTGAAATTTTTGACATTTGGGCAAATGTACTTTCAGCTCAAAAGTCTTATGTAAACATCAAATTTGTTTACGTTTTATGTACATATTTTTCTAAAATATATCATGAATATAGACGTATTTATAAAAATTGTTATTAGTAAAATATTACTTGGATTTCTAAACACAATTCACCATCAACAAAAACTGTTTCAACTCATTTAATTATAAATTATAATAATATCACACTTTAAATTTACCATTACTTTATCCAATTTCAAAGCGTTTTTAAACAATGTAATCTTTAATTTGGTTATTTTTAGAAAATTTCTAGTATTCTTGATAATCTAAAAACGTTCCAATTTTGAATGAGTAGAATACAATCGATGAGGAAATAAATTATTATTTACAAAAATTTAGTTTCCACCAATGAATCTCATTTATAACTGAAGTAAATACAATTTCGTCACGCTTTGGACCGTCTGTCGGACAGTTTGGTCAATAATTAGTATAATCCTAATCTCCAGATAATCTTTAATATCAATTGCTAAGAAATTTAAACAAAGTTCATCTTTTATTCATGTTTGGTACAAGATCTAAAAGAAAATTGGGTGATACTAAACTATAAATGGAGGGAAATACCGCGAAAAACTTTTTTAACACACTCCATCGAGAAGATACGATTTTTTCCGTTACCCATGCATCTTTTTGTCGATAAAATTGATATCAGTCTTTAATATTATAGTTTGGTATTAAAATAAAAAATACCCAGGGTTTCTCTAGGTATCGAATAGCATCAAGACCCTTCATCATGTCTTTAAAATTATTATTAATAAAGTACAGGTTAACAAATAACAAGATATTTACAATACAACTGGTAGCTGTTTAGTTTCCACAATTTGAACATTGTAAACATTGTAGGGACTTCTTTTCCATTAATTAATCTATATTAAAGTATTGGTTGAGGTAAAAAATTCAGTGTCACGAGCGGGATTCGGACTTTTTTATCTCAGCCAATTCTTTTAATAAAGGTTAATTAATTGAAAAGAAGTTATTTGGTCAATCGGACCACGAACTCTAATGAATTTAATAAGTAAAATGAAGTATGTCTTTACCATAGCTCTCCGTGTCCATTTCATTTGTCGCCGAGAATCGAATAGATTACACATTTGAAACAAGGCAAAAAGGAGGGAAAATTCGAAAGGTGGGTTGAGATGGGAAGTTAGTGTCACGATAGCTCAAGTGGTAAAGCAGCGGCGTATTTAGCCGAAGGTCGTGGGTTCGAATCCCACTCGAGTAACTGACTTTTTTATCTCAACCAATACCTTTCATAAAGTTCAATTAATTGAAAAGAAGTTATTTGATCAATCGGACCACGAACTCTAATGAATTGTAGGGACTGATTATCGGTGATTGTACCGGTTGCGCGTTGACACGCACTCGTCAATATGAAGTAAAGGTCCCGAAATATTCCAAATTTTTTTTCTTTAAAAAAACCGGAATGCCGGGAATGATATGACCTCCGCTGTGGCGAAGTCCGGTAAAAAAATCAATACTACGATCTTTATGGAGTTTCAAACCTTTGCTAGCATCAGACAAAACTCCCTAAAAATGTGCAACTTTTAGAAAATCGTTGTTGCCGTTCAATAAACATTCCAGTGGTATGTCTTTTTTTTTCGAAAAGTACGTACGGTTTGATGAAACCCACAAAAACCGAGTTTCATCAAAATCGAGGTTTCAAGCAAATCTATTAAAGATGTTTTTTCTCAATAGAAAAAGTGAATAATATTATTAAAATTAACATAATTTTTTTTAAACATCAGATTTTTTATGCTCTCTCCAATAATGTAATCAAAACTACCTGTTCTGACCTTCGACATCTGTTCATGAGACACCCTGTATAAATAACACTTAAATTTCACATATATTTTCTATATTTACACGATATTTAATCTTTATCTTTATAAATCTTTTTTTAATTAGCTTTCCGCCGACATATTTGTCACAATTTGTTTTTAAGTTAACTCAGCCAAACTGTAGTTTGCGTTTTTGACAAGGACCGTCACTTTAAACACACTTATATATTTTTTATTATTATATTTAATTATACAAAAAATCAATAATACATTAAAACCTATTTAGAAAAGCATTGCATAATTTAGGAAATGATATGCAAACTCGTTCAATAGAGTTCATGTATTAATGGAAATTATTTCTGTTATCTTTCGGCCGCTTATCTATCATTGATGTTAAATGTAAATCGAAGAATTTATTGTTTTAAAAAACACGATCCGATACAAACCTCCATTAATTCATATCGTTGTTAAGATCGGATGAAGAATTTTTATTTTTAACGACACACCGTGTATAAAAATACAGTTACTCGTGACAGATGCTCGGCCCAATTTTGGCACGTTTTACCAACAGGGGTAATCTCAATTTGATTATAATTTCGCTTTAAGAGGGCGAAGGAGGTTTTATGCCGTTGAATATGCATATAGAACGGAAGGCTAATAGAATCCTGCCTTTCGCTGAAAGGAAATTAACTTTTATTCAGAGGCGAGACAAAATCTTCGACGGAAGTAACACGCGACTTTTGAAGTGACGCTACCGTGAAGTTGACCGTTGATTTTCCAATTGTACCTCGTGATGAGGACATCCACTAAAAGGTCTCTTCTGCTAATCCTTGTATCAATTTTAAACAAATGAAATATAGTAGATTTTTTTAAAAATTGTAATATGCATTAGTTAATCAAGACGAAGTTTGATAAATAATTATTTGAAACAAAAAAATCTTCATTGTAGTGATAGAAAGCTTAGTCATGATTTTATGTGTGGTGTTTAATGGCCGTTAGCCAATGATTATTTGGAGATCCTGAGATGAGGTCTGATGTGACGTAGGTTTTAGAAAAAAATTTTCTTTATCGTTCCAACGTTTCGATCTTTATTGAGATCATCTTCAGGGCCGGGAATTTATAAACATTGTTTGAATTTTACATACATATAGGATCTGGAAAAAAATGAATTTATACAATGCAAGAAAATTTTAGATTAAAAAAATGAATTTATACAATGCTATTTATACAATGCTAGAAAATTTTAGATTAAAAAAATCAAATTTATACAATGATAGAAAATTTTAGATTAAAAAAATAAATTTATACTATGCTAACAAATTTTAGACTAAAAAAAATTAATTTATACAATGCTAGAAAATTTTACATTTAAAAAATGAATTTATACAATTCTAGAAAATTTTCGATTACAAAAAATGATTTCATACAATGTTAGAAATTTTAGATTAAAAAAATTGAAAAATGAAAACAAACAATTTGAGTGAGTACAAATACTTTGATTGAATTGAAAATTTTCTATCATTGTATAAATTCATTTTTTTTATCTTAAATTTTATAGCTTTGTATAAATTCATTTTTTTAATCTAAAATTTCTAGCATTGTATAAATTCATTTTTTTAATCTAAATTTTTTTAGCATTGTATAAATTCATTTTTTTATCTAAAATTTTCTTGCATTGTATAAATTCTTATTTTTTTCAACACCCTACATGTATTTGTAAATTTCAAACAATGTTTATAAATCCTAGGCCCTGAAGATGATCTCAATAAAGATCGAAACGTTGTCACGATAAAGAAAATGTTTTTTAAACCTACGTCACACCATACCGCATCTCACGACCTCCAAATAATCATTAAGTAACGCTCACTAAACACCACATATTATTTAGTTTATT